GTGAATATAAATTTAACTGTTTATTTATATAGACGTGAGGGTGGTGGTTAGGGGCATGCCAAATACGGAAAGGGAAGCAAAGAAGATCGGGTAGTCTTTATAATTTCACACTTTTCACTTTATAGTAATTTTTATGTATTATATATATATACATTCAGTTTTAATTTCCTCACCAATTTCTTTTTGCCAAAATTTAATATCCTCATACTCTTATGGAAATGTCACTGCAGCTTCATGCGAGGTTGTGGGGTCATTTGCGCCTTATCGTCTTAATGTTACTCTCTTGACAAATCAAAACATTCAATGACCCCATTTTTTTCTTTCCCATATATTTTTCTAAATTCATTTTACCATTTTACTATAATAAGAATGAAGCAAAATAAATTGGTAAAAACTAATGCGATCCTAGTTTGCGCACTTGAAGTCATTATGTCTACCGAAAATATTTGAGTTTGTGATTCATACTCCTTTGATTCAGGCATTGCAAGTTCCATAAATTTGGGACTCATTTTTCTCAACATTGCTTGTATACTATATTATAGAAATGTTGACTAAAACCCAATTTTTTCACATAATGAGGGCCCGTTTAGTTACCACTGCTTTTAAATATCATTTGTCGAAACTAAATTGATTTTCGGTTGACAATGTAAATGTATTTTGCCAACCAAATATTGCTAATTTTTTTTTGTTATGATTAATTCGGACTAAGTAACTTTGAAATATCCTAATTATTATTAGTATGATTTTTTTGTTAGTGAAGTAAAATATATATCACATACATACCGTCCATAAAATAAAAAATCTCGGCTGGTAATCACGACATAGTTTTGGATAAATCCAGCTTCGATGCTGTTGAGATCGTTGTTTTCGTAGGAATCGATGTCACACATGTCTAACCTAGACTGAGTTAATCAAACCCTTCTATTTGGTTGCCATACATCCATCGTCACTTGAGTTCCATAATTTAGTTCATGTGGTAAAGTACACAATATGTCTTTAAAAAATACCATAATCACTAATCACATGTGATATAATATCATTTGTGATTTCTGTAAAATAGAACTGAATCATTTTAGACAAAAGTCTAAATGTGAATGATTAAAAATAATGTTGTTGACAACAAAATAAAAATAATAACATTGTTTTAAAAACATAAATTCGTTAACTTAAAAAAGGATACCAAATACTACGAATATCAATCTGATGACTTTAAAAAAATTCTTTTTAATTTAGTATCATATTTAATAAATTTAGTAAAAGTGTGTTTGTAAATATTTTGTAAGAATGAAAATATTTTTTCTAAAAAAAATAGTTTTGTTTTGCTTATATTTTGAACAAATTTTCTAAATTGTTTTGTTTTGATCTTTTCATTAATTAGAATATACTACTAGAGTTGT